TCATCGGACTTACAGGAAAGGGAAGTGACAGAAACCCTCATGTCTTTGAATCTTCAGATGTTAAAATCTTAAAATATGAAACTCCTGAATTCTCAAAATCTGAAAATCTCAGAATCTTGAAAGCTTCAAAAACTTAAATTCTTTAAATCCCGAACTATTGCAATCTGAAAACCTTGAATTCAAAAACAAGTAAGATAAAATAAAATTCCTTCAATCCGGGCAATATTCTAAATTCCTTAACCTCTTAATCTTCAAATTTTGAAGTCTTGACATCTTAAGATCTTAAAATCTTAAATTCCGAAAGTCGCCAAATCTGAAAATCTCAAAAAAAATCAATCTTAAAGCCTTGGATGGAAAATGGCTGGGCAATGGCCTGGCTGTTATAACCTTCAACAACCTTAAATCTTTGAATCTTAAAACCTTGCTTCTTAAACCATTGAAACCTTAAATTCCGAAAATCTTCAAATCTGACCCTTAGAATCTCAAAGTTTATAGAATTTTAAGATCTTAACATCTACTAATCGGACTTACAGGAAAGGGAAGTGACAGAACGGGCAGGGCAAGGTGCCCGGTGGCCGGCTGTGTCGCGTCAGCGTGTAAATCCGGCCACCGGACGTGATCGGGCCGCAGGCCAAAGCCCGTTAGGGCTTACCTTCAGGTATAAGGCCGCGCGCCCCATGCCGCCGACCATGAGCGGACCATGCGCATACGTTTTGGGCTGGGCCTTCCTTATGAGGGGCGAAGGATTCGCGGATTGGTTTAGGCGATTTTTGTAGCATCTCCCCGCAGCGCCCAAAAACGAACATTTTTAGGTGGTGCCTAATACTGGACAACACCCCCAGCATTGCCAGCATCATCCCGGATGATGCGGATGATATTATGCATGCTGGCGATGCGGGGGATGCTAGGGATGTTGTCCCCTAAGTCGGGCCAATTTTGCCGAAAACGTGCAACCTGAAAATCTAAAAATCTAAAGTGGATGGAAATGGATGGAAAATGGCCTGGATTGAAATCTCAAAATCCTAAAGTCTTAGATTCTTAAAATCTTAATTAATATCTAACAATCAATCTTAGAATCTCAAGATCTTAAAATCTTAGAACTTAGAATCTTAAAATCTAAAAATATAAAAACTTCCTAAAGTCTTCGAATCTTGAAATCTTTAAAAACCTTATGTCTTAGAATTTTGAGATCTTAAACTCTTAAAATATGAAATCTTAGAACCTTAATTCTTAAACCATTGAAACCTTAAATTCCGAAAGTCTTCAAATCTGAGACCATAATTGAATCTCAAAGTTTTTAGAATTTTAAAATCTTAACATCTACTCATCGGACTTACAGGAAAGGGAAGTGACAGAAACCCTCATGTCTTTGAATCTTCAGATGTTAAAATCTTAAAATATGAAATTCCTAAATTCTCAAAGTCTGAAAATCTCAGAATCTTAAAAGCTTCAAAAACTTAAATTCTTTAAATCTCGAACTATTGCAGTCTGAAAATCTTAAATTCATAAACAAGTAAAATATAATAAAATTCCTTCAATACGGGCTATATTATTCTAAATTCCTTAAACTCTTAATCTTCAACTTTTGAAGTCTTGACATCTTAAGATCTTAAAATCTTAAATTCCGAAAGTCGCCAAATCTGAAAATCTCACAAAAATAGAATCTTAAAGCCTTCGAAATCTGATAATGGATGGTAAATGGCTGGGCAATGGCCTGGCTGTTATAACCTTCAAAAGCCTTAAATCTTCGAATCTTAAAACCTTAATTCTTCAACCATTGAAACCTTAAATTCCGAAAGTCTTCAAATCTGAGACCCTTAGAATCTCAAAGTTTTTAGAATTTTGAAATCTTAACATCTACTCATCGGACTTACAGGAAAGGGAAGTGACAGAAACCCTCATGTCTTTGAATCTTCAGATGTTAAAATCTTAAAATATGAAACTCCTAAATTCTCAAAATCTTAAAATCTCAGAATCTTAAAAGCTTCAAAAACTTAAATTCTTTAAATGTCGAACTATTGCAATCTGAAAATCTTAAATTCATAAACAAGTAAAATATAATAAAATTCCTTCAATCCGGGTAATATTCTAAATTCCTTAACCTCTTAATCTTCAAATTTTGAAGTCTTGACATCTTAAGATCTTAAAATCTTAAATTCCGAAAGTCGCCAAATCTGAAAATCTCAAAAAAATACAATCTTAAAGCCTTGGATGGAAAATGGCTGGGCAATGGCCTGGCTGTTATAACCTTCAAAAGCCTTAAATCTTTGAATCTTAAAACCTTAATTCTTCAACCATTGAAACCTTAAATTCCGAAAGTCTTCAAATCTGAGACCCTTAGAATCTCAAAGTTTTTAGAATTTTAAGATCTTAACATCTACTCATCGGACTTACAGGAAAGGGAAGTGACAGAACGGGCAGGGCAAGGTGCCCGGTGGCCGGCTGTGTCGCGTCAGCGTGTAAATCCGGCCACCGGGGGCTTCAGACCCCGTGGTCCGTGATACGGCCGAAGGCCTAGGCCCGCAGGGCCTACCTTCAGGTATAAGGCCGGCCGCCCTGTGCCGCCGACCCACCGCCGAACTTTTGCGCTGCGCCAAGCTGGGCCCACCCTTATAAGGGCCGAAGGATTTGCGGATTTGTTCAAGGGCTTTTTGAGCATCTCCCCGCGGAGTCAAAAAGCGAGTGTGTATTGGGGGGTGCCCATAGTGGACAACATCCCCGGCATCACCTGCATCATCCGCATCCTTGGCGGACATTGATGCGGATGATGCCGGTGATGCGGGGGATGCTGGGGATGTTGTCCCCGAAGTCGGGCCAACTTTGCCGAAAACGTGCAACCTGAAAATCTTAAAATCTTAAAGTGGCTGGAAAATGGATGGAAAATGGCCTGGATTGAAATCTCAAAATCCTAAAGTCTTAGATTCTTAAAATCTTAAATTAAAATCTAACAATCAATCTTAGAATCTCGAGATCTTAAAATCTTCGAACTTAGAATCTTAAAATCTGAAAATATAAAAACATCCTAAAGTCTTCGAATCTTGAAATCTTAAAACCCTTATGTCTTAGAATCTTGCGATCTTAAACTCTTAAAATATGAAATTCCTACAGTCTTAAACTCTTACTCTTGAAATTTGGAAATCTTGAAACCTCAAGATCTTAAACTTACAACCTTAGAAGACCGAATCTTACAATCTGAAAATATAAACATCCTAAAGTCTTCGAATCTTGACTTCTTAAAACCCGAATATCTTTGAATCTTCGGATGTTAAAATCTAAAAATATGAACTTCCTAAATTCTCAAAGTCTTAAAATCTCAGAATCTGAAAAGCTTTCAAAACTTAAATTCCTTAAATCTCGAACTATTGCAATCTGAAAATATTAACTTCATAAACAAGTAAAATATAATAAAATTCCTTCAATCCGGGCTATATCTTAAATTCCTTAAACTCTTAATCTTGAAACTTTGAAGCCTTGAAATCTTGAGATCTTAAAATCTTAAATTCCGAAAGTCGCCAAATCTGAAAATCTCCGAAAAATAAAATCTTAAAGCCTTCGAAATCTGATAATAGATGGAAAATGGCTGGGCAATGGCCTGGCTGTTATAACCTTCAAAAACTTTAAATCGTTGAATCTTAAAACCTTAATTCTTAAACCATTGAACCTTAAATTCCGACAGTCTTCAAATCTGAGACCCTTAGAATCTCAAAGTTTTTAGAATCTGAAAATCTTAACATCTACTAATCGGACTTACAGGAAAGGGAAGTGACAGAACGAGCAGGGCAAGGTGCCCGGTGGCCGGCTGTGTCGCGTCAGCGTGTAAATCCGGCCACCGGGGGCCCCTGACCCCGTGGTCCGTGATACGGCCGAAGGCCTAGGCCCGGAGGGCCTACCTTCAGGTATAGGGCCGGCCGCCCTGTGCCGCCGACCACCGCCGACCGCCGACCATGCGCTATACTTTTGCGCTGGGCCCGCCCTTATAAGGGGCGAAGGATTTCCGGATTTGTTCAGGCGATTTTTGGCGGCTTTTTGAGCATCTCCCCGCGGAGTCAAAAAACGAGTGTTTTTTGGGGGGTGCCCATAGTGGACAGCATCCCCGGCATCACCTGCATCATCCGCATCCTTGGCGGACATTGATGCGGATGATGCCGGTGATGCGGGGGATGCTGGGGATGTTGTCCCCGAAGTCGGGCAAACTTTGCCGAAAACGTGCAACCTGAAAATCTTAAAATTTTAAAGTGGATGGAAAATGGATGGAATTGAAATCTCAAAATCCTAAAGTCTTAGATTCTTAAAATCTTAAACTAAAATCTAACAATCAATCTTAGAATCTGGAGATCTTAAAATCTTCGAACTTAGAATCTTAAAATCTGAAAATATAAAAACATCCTAAAGTCTCGGGGGATGCTGGGGATGTTGTCCCCTAAGTCGGGCCAACTTTGCCGAAAACGTGCAACCTGAAAATCTTAAAATCTTACAGTGGATGGAAAATGGATGGAAAATGGCGTGGATTGAAATCAAGTTTTTAGAATCTGAAAATCTTAACATCTACTAATCGGACTTACAGGAAAGGGAAGTGACAGAACGAGCAGGGCCAGGTGCCCGGTGGCCGGCTGTGTCGCGTCAGCGTGTAAATAATCCTGCTGCCCAATGGGTAAAGATTTCTACGTTCTGCCATGTCCAAAGCTAAATTGGTGCCCGCGAAGAAAAGACTGCTGGCCCTGATTCTTGCGCACTGTGGTCCAGCAATGATGCTTCAGCCAATGTTGCTCCTTTCCTCTGCGGCTATGCATCAGCTCCATGCACCATACCATGCGCACGCAGGCTTGCTCAAGGCCGCTGGACAGCAGGTGCCATCCATGCTTGGCAACGCAATATTTCCCAGCAGCATGACTCCACCAAATGCAGACGCATGAATTGAATTGGCTGTTAAGCATTTCTGCCTAGAGGATGAAAGGCTGCCTGGTCCAAGGTCTCAAGGTGCTGCCCCCTTGCGCTCCCGCCTGAGGTTGGGTCATCCAGCTTGTGCCAGGGGACGGCCTGACCTAAGTTATCCGGAGGACCCTGCTGGTCAGAGGAACCTCCTCAAATAGACTGTTTCCTTGCTAAAAGGGCAAACACCCCGATTGGCGCCGTCCTCCGGGTTAATCTGGGGTTCATGTTAAGGGCCAGGGAAATCCATGGCACTCTCAAAAGGCTCCAAACCTAATAGGACCTTGGCGATCCCACCAAGCGCATCGCATAGCTGCGATACGTCACTTAAGTATCCCCGAAGAGGGGTTTGAAAAACACACAACCAAAAGCACCCGCCAAGCTCGCACTGCTGCAAACGCTCTTCGGCATCGGCGTCCAAGAGCCTCAAGACATGGAGCACCCTTCGTTACATAAATTTCTGCCCTTAGCCCAAACGTATTGCAAAACCAGGGGTCGTCACCAAAATATGGTAAACGTACACTTTTCCTGCTTCGAGCGTTTTTCCCAAAACCGGGCGGGTCGGTCCTCTAAGATGATCGGTCGCTGAATATTCAAAAGGAGCGAGCAGAAATCAAAGTGCAAAACGAGCGCAAATATCCGCAAAACGAGCGCAAATATCCGCAAACGAGTGCAAATTTAAAAAACGTAACAATCCCGCCTTCCTCTGGATGGAAGAAGGGGATGTGGTCGAGCGTTTTTCGGGGGACGAGCGTTTTTTGGGGGGTCGGGCAGAAATCGGTAATTCGAGCTTTTTGTTTCTCGTACCTAAAAAAAAGGCACGTTGGGTGCCTCAGGGAGTTATATGGTTCTTGAAGACCCAAATAAGCCATGATCATAGCTGCAATTGGTAGCCCACTCATATTATCTGCAAGTTATCCAGAGGATTCCAAAAGCAAACATTGGGCATTTCTCCTATTAGAGCTCCCGCCCACAACGAGCTCCTGCGCTCCCCCCAAAACATCTTGCACCTCAAACAAAGTGAGCCTGGCAGCCTAAAGGACCTCCCAAACACGGAACCTCGACTGGGCACTCCAGCGGTGCACGTAGGAGTGCGCCAGAGAACCCAGCAACACATACGCCCGGCGGAGCTCCTCGCGGTTTTTGGACGGCTGGGACCAGAGGTTTCGAGGTTTCGTAAGGCGCATGCTAATAATATGATGTGACTGTTGCTTGCAAACTTTGATATTGTTACCTCCCACCAATTAACTGGAACTTGACAGAGCTCCGGTGCCTTTAAAAGGAAAATGTTCTTCCAGAACACACCAGACGTCAGGTTCCGTGTTACTTGGTGGGAGGGTAATACTAACAACTTACGAATTGCTCTACGAAATCTAATTGCTTGCAAATTGCTTCCCATCCGCCGCTGTGTGGCTGACTTAGGCGGTCGGAAGGGTTACGGCGGTTTCAGTCTTTCTTTTTATTTGCCAAGGTGCCATCTTGGGCCGTCTCGGGTGCCTATAGAGGTTTTGATGCCTAGTCCAGGACAAGCTGGAGCTTCTGACCCTGAAAGGGGCGTCGCTAAGACCTCGTGAATTCCAAATCCAAAACCCTATTCGGGCCAACGACGGCCAACGGTTGGGGCGGCCAAAGGGTCGGTCGCTTTGGTTCGTAGAGTCTTCTGGTAAGCTGGTGAGACGCCCAGCCGCAAATCTGAGCTGATGATCCAAGGGATGGGGTGGGCTTAGACCTTTGTTCAACGACGGACAAAACAAGCGCGCAACCTGAAAGAAGCTGGGGAGGTTTGCTTTCTGGTGCAAAATCTGCACACCCTCCTCACTCTCCACATGTCGCATTGCCTCGGGCTTCAGATTGGCGACGTCGAGTTGGGGCAAAGCCTGGCTTCCAGACGCTTTCCGGAAAAAACAAAATCCACGTGAATTCGGGGGGGGGGGAGAATTCCGCCGCGGTAGGCTGGTAGTTGGCATGAAGATGGTTTTGGTGATTCGGAAAATCTGGAAAACCTCCGTACTTGGCCAAAGGGGTTACACACCTCCGTTGTATACGGCTTGGGTTTATAGCCCTTTTCCACACAAAGGCGGCCAAGTCTGGGGCCATCATGCTGCCTTGCTTGTTGCTTCGTGAGGGAAAAAAGGTACATGCTCCCTCTTCGCTGCGGTGAGGCCAGTCCAAAAGAACTAGCCATTGAGAGCTTCTTAGTTGGTCATACCCATCCAGATGTACATTGTAAGGTGGGTTCCGAATGGCTGAGTTGTTTGGAACTCAGCAACTCTCATCATGGCAGCCAATGACCACTTCTTCCTCTTCTACTTCCTTCAAAACGGAGGCACGGGTGTCAGCGGCACGGGGACATGGATCTCCAAGGCCTCAAGAAAGGAGAGAACGCAAATCCTCCGCTTTCAGAAAACCACCCAAGCCCATGCAAATCTCCCAGCCCCCCCCCCTCTCAAACCCCTCTCCCCAAACCTTGAGAACGCACCAAACGCACCCCAAAATGCCCCAAATCACACCCACCAAACGCCTCCCCCCCCCCCAAACAGAAGGCGCGCCTCGAGCCGTGCAGCCAAGCGCCCGGAGCGGTTCAAACGTGGGAGCTCGGAGGCCACAGCCTGCGTTTTCGAACGGAAAGCTGTTGGCAACCGAAGGGTATCCTTTTCTTCCAGGAAATCCTCAGGTGGTGGTTGCATTTTGCCTTCCTAAGACCATACAGTTAAAGTTAAGCCCTGAAATTCTCCTGCCCTGAGGTCTCAAATCATTGAGCTGATGCTGTCTATTGGCCACGTACTGCGTTCAAAAAAGGAGGATTGTTAGTCCGAAACCCGTAGCCGGACCACAAACATCTGGCAGAAGAACTACGCACCCCTGCATTTGTGGGCTTGGAGTTGGATGTGTTGAGCTCATTTGAATCTGTTGATTGAACTTATTTCAACTTGGTGATGGTTGGGGGGTTCTTTACGTGTTGGCGTGATGCTTGGTGTTCCGACGGTTGGTGCGCTGGTCTATTTTTTCACTTTGAGGGCGCCGTGCAGATCTAGAAGCCCTGTGTTCGAACGAACCTAAAGACCCAAACCACAAACTGGCCTTCGAGTGAACCGGCTGCCCCTGCTGAGATCATTTGGAGGCTAGTCCCATGTGACACTCATGAATGCCGTTGGGCCCTCAGCCCAGTGGACTTCCATGGGGAAGATAGAAGCGGCGCCCTCTTGTCGGAAGGCGCGCCACCCACGCGTCTCAAAGCCAACTCCCGCGGCCCTTTTGTGTGAAGCGGCAGCGCAAGAGACATTTGCTCGAGATCGGGATGTGAAGGCCCTTCGCCTGGGGCGCATGGACCTGCATTTCAGGGCTCCCCTTACTCTTTTCACGCAGGAAACTCACCGTTCGGCCCAGGTGACGTTTAAATCCACCAAAGGGAGAAAGGGAGCCCTGCTTTTCTGATCGAGACCGTTGCAACTAAACTAACACATCCCGCGCCTAAGAGTGACAGCCCGGAGCAAAGGTCCCAAGGGGAAGGGAATGTCTTGGCCGCGGCCTTTCGAACGGCTTCTGCACCACTTCCAACGCATGTTCTCGGAACATTCGAACATAGAGAAGCAGCTAACATCGGGACAGATGCAAAACCTGTGGCCAATCGACTTTGCCCTCCTGACTCCGGACCTCTGCAGATTGCAAGGCTGAGACTCACTTCCTGAGTGGATTGGCCCAAAGCCCAAAGTGCTACTAAAAATGGACCAGACCCAAAAAGTCACTAACGTCCAGGAACTCAAGGAGTGAGGAAAGCAAATGCCATCACAGGAGGGGCTGCAGTCATCATCGCCACTCCCTGGCTCGAGTTTTGCTCACGTGAGGCCGAGGGAATGGTTTGCTGTCTAGGGATGGGCAGCCTAAAATGGGCAACGGTTGCCCAAAAACAAATGTTTGGTTTCCAACTTGCTTGACCCTGAAAACCAATCGCATTCTGAAAGACACTGCCGCCGGCGTCAGTTTAGTCGGGACCTCCTCTTGGGTCTCGAATGGGGGGGGGGTCTTCCAATATATTCTTGTCAAAGCCGCAGATTGGCAGAGACCAAATCTGCCCCAATGCCTTGATCCCTATGGCATGGCGAGCTGTGTATCAGATAAGGGCCGATCACCAGGCTTGATGTCTTGCTTGGAGGAACGGAGTCACCTTCAGAGCCAAGATCTTTCTTGCGGGAGATAACCCTTTCTATGCTTCATTTGGACATTGCAAAAGGCCGCCCTCCTGTGATTCCCGCTCCAATGTTTTTGACTTCAGGAAAACAAAACGTGCCTATGAACCGCTTATGCGGCAAACCCTGCATGGCGCCTATGGTCGAGCCGGACTCAGTGCCAGCTACGTGGTGTGACCTCACACGCCGAGAGGACGATGCCAGACGGTGGCTTGCATGTTGCATGGCACTGTCTGGAATTGGACACATCCCAATGTTGCCACCGTTTGCTCGTAAGTGGAATAAAGGCCATCCCCTCGTTTGCTCGTCCCGTCAACCCAGCCAGATGATTTGAGTCCACTTGGAGTCCACCACCAAGGAGTATCAGCTGTCTTCGGCCAGCGCTTTCTCTCACTGAGATCCGAGGTGTGCAGACCTGTTCGGGTTGGATAAAAACCTCCGTTCAATGGGGTTGACTGTTTTCTTCTCCAAATAATTGAAGGCAGCCAAGTGGACCTTCCACATCCTTCCTTGCACGCTGCGCCTTCTTTAGGCATGGCTGGCGGCCGCCGGAGTTCCAAGCATTTTTATACCCGTCCAAAGGCTGACTCTTTTTCAATGTGGACTCCCGGGTCCCGCCTTCCGAGAGAGTGGTGCCACAACCTTAGCCCGGGCCCCCTTGCGAAAGAGCGACATGAAACGAGATGAACCTACCCAAAACTCTTTGGGGTCCTATGGGATAGCCGGGTACGGAGAGCCCCCTCGTCCTCTTTGCCGCGACCTGAAAGCCCAAGGATGAGAGCCAAACACGGCCAAAGAAGGCAAAACATAGGCCTTCTTCCGGTTGGAAGGTGATGTGTGCCCCTTGCAGCACTGGATCGGATGTGTTACACAAAGCACCACTCAAATGATTCGGAGACGGGGGTGGCCAGTGATCGCTGGCACGCCCCCAGCTCCCTGTCCGGGCCCGTTCCGAAGGTCCCCATCGGAAGAGACAGCTCCGCGCCCTTTGCCTCGCCAATCCAAGCCACCAAACTGGGGGAGGCTGATTTAAACTTCATTCGAATTGGAATGGGTAGTGCTTTATTATTGGAAGTGTGCCTTCTGAGGACCCTCATGGTTTTCGGGGCGCCCGTTGCCCGTGTCTAGCTCGCCGAGGCACAAAGCAAGTCTCCGACTCCAATGGCGCTTCCTCCTCGGCGAGACTTTCTGCGCTGGCACTGTTGTTCTGTTGGGAGGAAAGAAATCTTCTGGCGCTAAAAGCAACTGGGCACGGTTGCCCGCATGTCCCTCTCAAAACGTCACACCATCTGGAAAATAGTCAACCATTGGTCAAACGCATGATGTTGAAACCACTCAAAGAACAGGAGCTTTTGTGACACAGGTTGTGCCGAACTTGTAACGCCGTCGCTTGGGGCAAGTGCAACCCACCAATCAAACAGCTCGACTCACATGGACACATGCTCAGAAAAGAGCCGTTTTCTGGTAGTATAGGGCATATGCACTGGCAAGACAGGCAAGGCTGTCTCCATAGGATTTGGGCTACGTGCAGCATGTTTGGCTTCCACTGGCTGCGAGGCCGCGTATCAGCGGATCCCGATCCGTGTTCTACTTGTCTGCTCCTGGCCATGATCTGATCTTCAGCGTAGCTTTGTAAAGAAAGCGATGGATTTGGTCGAAGTACCGGCAATTAGGGACCCTTCAACCAAAGCACCAATTAGGGACCCTTCAGCACCGTGACCCCTGCACGCAAGCTCTCCCATCTCATGTGGGTGACAGTCACAGTTCAAGCAGCTTCGGCCACAGGAGCCCCAAAAGGCTCGCAGCAAGTCAGCAATAAGAGTAAGAAGGGGTAAAACAAACTATTTGTTTAGCCCATGGAAATAGAGCACTAATAGTGACCAGCAAGTAGTCGTCAGCAGCGATGGCGGTAGAAGGAGTGGGGAAGCAATAGTTAGAGATAAGTAGTAGGAGGCAATGGGAAGTCAAAGCAAGAAAAAGTAAGCAGTAGGCAGAACGTTCCAGTTGGGGAATAGCAAGTAGTGAGTGAGTAACAAGTGGTAAGTAGCAAGTAGTAAATTGCAAGTAGTGAACGGCGATCAGCAATGAGTAGTGAGCAGAATATGGTACGTACGAGCCTGTAAGAGTGAGTAGGCGAGTAGGAGGAAGCGGGAGTAAGTAGTAGCAAGCAGTAGTACGTAGTAGTGAGTAGAAGGATGCACAATTGAAGAATAGTAGCAAGCAACAGTCATGACAATAGGCAAACTTAGTAGTAATTAGAAGCAGTAACTAGTAAGTAAGGAAGGCCAGGACCAGCAGCAGCAGTAGTATTAGCAGCAATAGCAGTGCCAGTACTAGCATTCGTGCCAGCGCTGACACTAGTACTGGTGAGAGTCCGGTATGTGTGCTAGTACACTGGCACGAGTAGAAGCAGTAGTAAACACGTCGTAATGGTATAGGAATGCCAGCAGTGCGTGGCTGTGGAGGCGGGCATGTTGGAAAGCAGGCTAAGACAAACTTGGAGGTACTCAATCCTGACCGGCTCAGAGCTTGAGCACTCGCAAGATTCCAAGTTTCTCCAGGCCCTGGCATGAGAGCCGCAGGGCTGACTCTAGCCGAGGCCCCGCGCAAGGCAAAGCTTGTGATCTTTACCTGGCGCTCCAGCACAGGCAAAGCGCGCGCCCACAGAAAACACGTTGGCTTCAGCAGCGGCATGGATTTTGGAAGGGCTCTGGGGCGGCTAGATGCTGCCACATGGCTGGAACAACTCACGGAGTGCCTTCCGCGTCCCTCTAAACACCACGCCACACCAAGAGTCAGTCAACATCAGCCTGGCCAAAAGGCGATGATTGCACCTCTTCAAAACGGACTTCAAAAGCAATGGGATCATGTTCTCTTGCCGGGCCCGTGATGTGGTGTGGCTGACAGCCATTGACAGCCATGCGCTTTCCTCGGGACCATTGCAAGGCTCCCTGGTCACTGCCCGATGATGTTCGCGCAGGACTCGGCCGAATGCTTTGGCTCAGGACCCCCAACCCAGAAAGAAGTTGCGAGAGGTTAGCATCTAATCCATCAAAACCTAGTAAACCCCCCTACGTGGAGGTTATGGGAGGCGTACGGCGTACGGGTACATCCATTTGCATCCATTTGCTTCCACCAAGGACTGGGACAGATGGATCGGACGCGCCTAAGCGGCTGCCCTCCAAGAGGGTGGGACGCCTGAAAAAGCATGCGCGGCTCTCAGAGGTTCAATCAAACAAGTGGGCCGGCCTGACAACAAGGATGGCCGCAAGAAATTCAGTAAGAACCTTCTGAAATACATGAGTTTGAAACACTGTGGGGGCTCCAGTTGCTCAACCTATATGTTGCTGGAGGTATATCTCTCTTGCCCCTCCGTTCGAAGCTTGCAATGGTCTGCTCATCTTCGTGGGGAATCTTATGCT